TGCAACTTTTAACTGTATCGAACGTAATCCGGAAATAGTTTGGTGTAGCTTTATTTCGCTCTATGACTGATCTAGAATAATCACCTATTTTTTAAACCAATCGGATGCAAAACTTACAAAACCAACTACGACTTTTATTGACTACTCGTGTTTGCTGCACCCAAGCACAGTTTTCTGGCTTTAAAACTGAGTTCTCATAGCTCCCGATGATAGTTTCTTCGTTGTATCATCTCTTGATGATAGCTTCCTCTACCCTGATCGACAAATCAGACTTAAAACTCAAGTAAAATCGATCGCGATGTGGTCGCTCTCGTTTTCCCGCGCTTCAAGCAGTTTGCTTGTTAGTCGGGCGACCGACTATAGGTTTACCTTCGGGTTTCTCTACAAAGCTCAGTCACGTGCAATGGGGAATACCGCAGACACGAAATAACGGCGCGACCTTCTTTCCACGATGTCGAAGATGGCGGATAGGTCGACTATGTTAACAAATGGTATCATCTTTTCTACGCTCGAACTTACAGACCAACACACCGCTCGCGGTAGACCCACTTAAAAAGGTAGCGTGTGTAATGAGCGTATATTTCGAAACGGGTCGTTCCGCGAACTCAAAATAGCAGAAGAATCAGATGATTTAGCGAAGGTCTAACTCGAATCAAACCAGATATCAAATGAGTTAAATGTGGACAGGGTGACAGAAGAACACTTGCTGATAAAACCAAGGTGACTCGTGATCAAACTCTAGGAAATGAAAACAAAGATGCCATGTTGGACTTTTATCAGAGTGAGGATAGACGCAATTGTTATATTTATGTGACCTTTATCGTGATAAGCTTACATTTGTTGTTTTTGCTTAAACAGAGTACATTATCAGCTGTTATTTTTCTGTTTGTTCCATTAGTTTTGTCGCTTTTGTGCGTATATTATATTCGCATATTGTTGCGCAGGAATGTCTGTTTGGTACCAAACAACGTGGTGTCGGATATGATGATGTATATGATGATGATGAAAGTAGCGGCATGTTTTCAGCAAAAGTGTGACGAATCAGCGTTGTGTGTACAAAATAAGAATGATGTTGCAAAAGAAATAACATTATTGTGCAAAGGAATTCATTGTTAATCGTTGTAACATTAACAATGGTGATCGAGTACCATGTGCGAAGACGATTCGCTCGTGATCCTACTCCAACAATCAAGGCACCATATAGTCAAGGTGATGTTACTATGTACTTTGGTGAAAATGCTGAAAAACAATGCGTTGCTATCAGTTTGATTGCTTTGATTTATAAGAAGATAAAAGGAATACATACCTGTCGTGACCTGGTACAAAGTTTGGAGAGGGTAATCAATTGTATTCAACTTTGTCACAATGTACAGGGTAGATGTATTTAATGCAAACAGAATAACCGTCGATGATTCCTTTGTCTGAGAAAAATTACCAGCTTAATTATAGTGAAGGCTACAGTGGTAATCTACATCATTGTGATTCAATAATTGAGGGATATCAGTACAGTATGTCTATAGACAAGGCCTTTGAATCACTCTTGTCACATAATTACTCGTCAATTATTCTGACAGTAGAATGTGTTGGTGTCAGTATCTATCATGCTGATAATGGGAGTTATAAGACATTTGACTCTCGTGCAAGAGACAAATATGTTAGAAGCCATCCCTCAGGTACATGTGTACTATTAGAAGTACCATGTATTCAGGGTTTAGTACAGTATTTCCAGACTATACACTCCCTCAGTGACAATTATGAACTCAGAGGAGGGCAGACTAGTACATATGAGAAAACTGCAGTGAACAGTTTGGGAGAAGAACACAACTGCTCTTGTAAACAATGCTCTTCAGTAGGGCTTTATGCATGTGTTAGTCAGTAGCAAAGTCTTGTAGTTATTGGAATTCCAGAACCCTATGTTGCATAACTGACCAAGTAAATAAATTCTACCGTAACATGGGCATAAACAGGCGTCTAAAAAGGGCAGATTTATACAGGAGTCCAACTTAAAGCCTGTAGCCCGACTTACGATCGTTTTATATTCGCTTGGAGTTCCCATCGGATCCTGATGATAGTTTCCTTCATGCTGATGTTTCGATACCTTCCTATCGAGGTACACCCTGATAATCATTATCTGTATGCTCGACAACGTCTTCTAGTTGTAAAACGAATTTCCTTCATTGACACTTCTAAGAATCGAAGGGTAAATAAGCGCAGTGCAGCAGCGACCATTTGAATCAATCTTCCTAAATCAGCTCTCCCACAAGAAAACACAATTGTCGATTAAATTCTGACTGAAGCCATCTATTCAATCTATACCATTCAAAATGCCCTTTTCATCAAGTGTGGAAATCACCTCTTAGAGGTAAAAAGTGAAATTTTATTGACAGGGTTAGCCGTTAGGCTAAAAAAAACAATTTGGACAATTGGGTTAAATCAATTCAACGCAAATGTCCATAACCGTATCCAAGGTTTCCGATCGGACTTTACGGGCACTATTGAAAATCCAACAGTTATCATGATGCCTGTGATTTAGGTGGAGGGAAGATAAATGCACCGTCTGGTATGAACTAATGATGCAGCCTTCAATAACGCTTTAATGAGCTTTAGGTGTTGGAGCGCATCGGCCGAAATGCAGAAGGCACAATACCGAATATGGGCAAAAGAGGAAGTGCACAATAATGTTCTCATAACATTTTTTCCAGTTTAGGTCCTAAAATATAACACAGCTCAGACAAACTAATTTCCAATTTCAGTATAATCATCTGAAAGAGCTACATTTAAATTAAATGTCATTTAATCGCTTTATTCAATCAGGACCACTGTGGGATTAATTGAGTTGATTGTTGGTTTTGGTATGTTGCTTCCGTTAATAAAAACAACAGATTCGCGATAGACGGGAAGATTCTTCAAAGTTTAAACGTGATGGTGGAAGGTAAATGCTGCTTCTCGTGCTTACATCTTCCTTTTTCTGTGTAATTGTTTCTTTTTTTTTTCTTTTTCTTCATATTCTACTTTTCTTTAAACTTTTTTTCGCTTCCACTGTCTTCCGACTTTTTCTTTTTAAGCATTCGTCGTGTATCTATTTCTTCATAGATTATGACCACCAATAAAATGAACTGAATATCACTCCTTCTTTATAATAATAAATAATAATAATAATAAATGTTTATTCACAATCAATAAAAAGTGAAAAGGAGATTAAAGAGGTTATCCCTTTCTAGTTTATCTCCTGATCCTAAAATATATTACGACATTAATTTAGATACAACTATATGATTATATGATAGATCAAAAATAAGAACTTAGTGTTAACTAGCAAAATTTACGAGGTGACTTCTCAGTCTATTCTTAAAAATATTCAAATTTGCCGCCTCAGCGATTTCCTTTGGCAGATTATTCCAACTAGTAATTATACGTATAAAAATGAATCTTTGCAACTATTTAAGGTCGCTGATGCAAACTTAAGTTTAAAGCGGTGATTGGCACTTAAAGGCCTAAAATCGTGTGCAAACATGAAAAATGCCGAGGGATCAAGTCCATTAAGTCCATTAAGCACACTTGTCTTATAACACTCGGTAAGTGACGAGAATAATCTTCTTTGCTCAAGTGTTGGCCATTTAAGAAGTTTTAAGCGCTCTTCGTAGGTCATATCTTGCCCAATTTTTCCAAGGGCACATTTGGATGCTCTACGTTGTACCTTCTCCAAGGTGTTTGAGTCTTTTTTAAGGTGCGGACACCAAACTGTGGAGCAGTACTCGAGTATCGGACGGACTAGGCTTTAAGCAATATTTTCTCGATAACCGGTACCAGTTTATTATCAGGGACCTTTCGCAAATTATTTGGAACTTAACCCTGCTTACATGCAATATGCTAAAGTCGATGTGAAGCCAAATGAGACTGTGGTGGAACACATCCAGCCATATCGCGGAGTCACAAAGGTACGAAAAACGTATACGGCGACGGACGGAGAATATACACCAAAATTATTATTAAATTAAATAAAGTATATATTTATGAATAAATAATAAATTTTTGATTACCGTTTTACCTTATTATCAAAATGGTGCAATGTGTATGTATTGTTTTCTAGCATCGGTTTTCCTCCACTTTCTAGATGTTTTTATTCAAATCAGACAGAAACCGGTAGCAGCAAGCCACCTGCAGCTTTTATCATAATGGCTTTTTAGTTGTCTTTAACCCTGGCACATCATTCAGACTTTTGTTTCTTTTAGAGTCTCATCCATAAATGCAAGAGCTGTCTCTAGGAACCCTCTTTCCGAATTTAATTAGCATATCCCATTTTCTTTACCTTCTGCAACCAGTACGCTACAGATCCCATTTTCTCTTCGTTCGTTTGTCTGTTTGTTTGATTTGCTCTTTTTAGTCTTCTCTCCAACAGCAGTTTACGGATAGGGGCTCATTTACATTATTTTGTTTATGAAAATTTCAAGGACAAATACTCAGCAGGCCTACGAGAGCCCACTTAGTACACAGCTTAAGAAACTGAGTTCAATCTCCTATTACTGTTTGACGCCTTTTGATAGACAATTTACACTCGAGCTTAGAATGTTACGAGTACAAGAGAGCTGTATGCCTCTCTTTTGTGCTATAATAGGAGTGTCATACTAGAACGCGTGAGGAGTCTTAATTACTCATTTTAGCGACAAAGGGAAATTTTTCTCTGCTGATCATATTTATGGTGAATAATTTTCACGTAAAGCTGCTGAAATCTTCAGAAGTGCATAGAACGAATCGCTGATAGATTTCACCAATATCAACTCGAAACGGCCTTACTATATCTGTCTTCATTTTAAAGAACTTCAAGACTGAGGATAAAATGAGGAAACTGTTTCGTGAGGTTATTCCGAACCGATGACCAATATACTATATACAGCTGAAACCTAACATTTAGCATTTCATTTTCGGCGAGAAATTTACATTTTAACCTGCATTCACTCGTCTATGTAAACAACAACTTTTAGGCTGTCGACTTTTCACCTGTCAAGCCAACAGCAGTGTTTTTGTGAAAGGTACGGAATATTGAAAAAAAAATTAAGTTCGTTTCATTATTTTTCAGCTGAGAACAGGAGAGGGAAGAAGTTATCCCAAAAGGCTTAGAATCTGAATTGAAAAAACATTTTGTGGTTTTCTGATCAAGAGATCCGAACAGGTGGATAAATGACCAACGAAAGTCTGTTTAGCTCTGAACCCGATGGTTCCTTAACCAAAGTGGACATCGTTTTCGCCGTGATTTACTCGTTGATTGTTCTTCCTGGAATTGTGGGCAACTGCATCATCTTAATAATTCTGTGGAAGAACTCCTCGATGCACACAACAACAAACTATCTGCTGATGAACTTGGCTGTGGCCGACCTGATCACTTTGCTACTCTGTCCCGGTTTGTACGATTTTGCCATAACGAAAGTTCATCTACAGGGTATCACCGGAGACTTGATTTGTAAGCTGTTTGTGGGGAACGCTATCGTCCCCATCACCATTAACACAGCTGTACTGACAGTTTGCACCATCGCCGTGGAGAGATATATGGCGCTTGTGAAACCGTTTCGCACCGCAAAACTGACTAAAGAATCTGTTAAATATGTTATAGCAGTTCTGTGGCTGTTAGCTCTACTGTCGTGCATACCAGATATTCAAGCCAATACGTACGACATCTCGTCTACCAAATATCCTTGCAAGCGTCCATGGAGTTTGGATGAATATTTCTTTCACAAACCCTTCATCATCTTCACCTGTGTTGGGTTTGGTCTCATGAGTTCCTCGATACTCATCTTCTGTTATTTTGAAATCATCCGTGGATTATACTTTACCAGAACAATTTGTTCGGAATCGACATGCAATGTCGAAGAAAGAAAGGCCAAGAAGCAATTGGCTCGACTAGTAATTTGGTTGGCAGTCGTCTTTGCTGCGTGCTCGCTACCATTCTCCATATATTTCATTTTCTTGATATCGGCCGACATTAGAACTGTCAAAGAGAACTACAACGTTTTGTTTGAGCTTCACAGGGCTACACGGTTTTTACTGTTCTCGAACTCTTTTTTCAACCCCTTGTTATATGCCTTACAGAGCTCGAATTATCGAGACGGATTTAAGTTAATTTGTAATGTCAATTCTGGATTGCTTTGTTGCAAGCGTGAACATGTTGCGCGAAGTTTAAGCCTCACTCGAGGAGGGGAGACATTGCATTCATCCCAAGGAGTTTTTGTCGTAAAGGAGATAGCGGTTTAATTTCTAAATTTAAAAACGATGACTAACTGCAATCAGTACTTAAATCTAAAAATGTAAGCCTTTTCCGCACCCCGAGAACATTTCACTGCTTGCTATTTTAAGGATGTCATTTTTTTCTTTCGAACAACCTGTTTGCGGCCCCACTATAACAACATTGAAGGATGAGATCAAAGATTCTTCATTTCGAACTAACAACCCGACAAAGACACTTGGGGGTACGATATAATATTTACATAAGCGGAATTTTAATGTCATACTAGAAAAATAAAACTGACGGCTGACAAACTTAATGGAGCTATAATGGTATAAAAATAACGTTTCTTCCAAAAACGTCTCGACCCTCTCACGAAGATGTTACCTTTTTCATTTTTTTATTGACCTGATTGACGTGTATTAACTAAAATGATAAATATTTTTAGTGCAAAATCTAGATTTTGGCGTTAATGTGGATAACTTGACAGACAGTAAATTTCAGGTATTGTTTGCGCAAGGGTTAGATCTTTCACTCTCCGATATGTTAGTAATTTAGGTGTGCTTTGAAACTCATTTTGATATAGCTCTTGAGCGTGAAGATTTTGATCCGCATAAAAGACAGCAGACAATTTCAAGTTTAAATTTGATCCAGACTAAATAAATTTCAATTTTCTCTCTGTTGTGTTTTACCGGAAAAAGGAGCAAATTAATTGTTTCTAGCTTTTTCTCGATGAAAGTAGACCCTATGTTGACGAAACGTTTGCGACACGATACACACAGACTGCGTTCGTTCTATTTTCTATTGGGCTTAGAGTTGAGTTTTGAGCGTAGGATATTTTTAGAATATAAATACTATGGATTTTCTGGGAAAATAAGTAGTCTTCTTCTTTTTATTAAAACTTAGTTTGGGTATTATCAAGAGACATCAGAATAAACGGACAATACTACCCTAGAATGCATAACTGTATGGACAAAACAAATTCATCAGAACAACTGGTTCAACTTAACGCACACGTTGTCCCTAACAATATTTGCTTTGATAACAAAAGACGCCTAATGACAAACAAATTCATGATACCCCACAAAAGAATATATCAATTCAATATAACCTCACAAAAAGATAAAACCAAAGCTTTCTTAAAAAGAAGCCACTCTAATCTAATTTTGTGCGAAAGCAATTTCTTAAGACTTATATTTCGTCATTTCAATGAAAGGGCAAAATTAGGCACGAAAATTAGATTCCACATAGGTTTTTCTGCCAAATATAATTTTGATGAGACTTAGAGATGAATAATTTGTAACTACAGAAAACGATTCTCACAACACTAGAAGAAGAGAATCATCCATAAAAAGAATTGGTTTTGATATCCTCTTTTTTCGATTTTACAATTTTATGAAGAAATTACTTTCTAAATCAGCTTTTCAGAAAATGAAATTTTCATGTTTATTTATAAATGCAAAAAAAAAAAACCAAATTAAACGAGCTAAACTTGGCGAGCGATATTGTGCTAAGCAAATGACCAGAGTACACGAAAATTCAGTCGAATGGCCATCGGGTGTTAGTGTTCTAAGTTAAGGTGTTAATGTTAAACTGACAGCGTTTAAGAATCGATCGCCGTGAAAGGCAATGGCTTTTACAGGTTTTTTATATTTGAATCGGTGGCTAGATCATACTGCTCGACTCTGGCAATGTAAACTTGCAATACTTGCAATATTTCATTATTAGGGGTTTCAGCATTCTCTCCTTAACTAAAAAAAGCAAGTAAAAAAATTAACATCTTTTTTTTGTTGGCCATACAGGCCTTCTGGTGTTATTTATGGTCACCATTAATCGGCACCGGACTACACACGAACAGATCACGAACGATATTTCTTTTTGGGCAATTTAGTTAGGCTTTCATGTTTTATCGTTCAGTCGCCCACGTTCAGTTATCCAGTGACGCAAAACTGGGCAGAGGCTAGGAAAGGGGCTGAGCTCAAAATTAGAGGCCAGCCGGCTTCTCACCCCTGCTTAGATAGTACGTAAGTGTTCGCTCTTGCAAAAAGACCGACGCCAAATGACTGCATAAATGCACGGCGTTAGATAATCGCTCCCTCAAGATTTCTTTAAAGTGTCTTTCTAATATGTAGATGCATAATGCGTGAGAACCCCGTTACAACTCTTTGTCTTCATAAATATATCACTGTTTATAACATAACCAAACTAAAGCGCGCGCTCTGATTGGTCAATTTAGCGTCCCCCATTTGCCCATGGGTGTACGCTGCTGACGTGAGCAAATGCAAAGACTATTTTTCCGCGCGCGCGCGTTTTTTCTGGTCGCGTAAGATTTGTCAAATAAAAGGGAACTCTTTAGCTACAATGTATCAATGTAATGTTATAAAACAAATGGTAAACACCACAGCGTACACTATTGAGTTATGGATGCACTTGGGAGGTTTGCTAAGCACTCAAGAAGCTAGAGTTGCTCTCGGCTATCGCCTCGAGCGACTCTTACGCTTCTTTCGTGCTTAGCAACCTCCCGCGTGCATCCATAACTCAAAAGTGTACGCTGTGGTGTTTACCATTTGTTAAATATTCACAAATACGTCTTTTCCATGAATCCATTTTCCTTACGGGGGAAGTTTCCTGCATCATTGTTTGGAGATGAGACGTTGTTTTCGTTGTCATGGAGATATTTTGCAGCCAAGAAATGGAATGAACTCTCAAATGACATTAGAATAAAAGTGGGCACCAAAGAAATAGTAAACAGAATTAGACCATTAAATTTCGGGGATTAATAGATTTGTAACGTTAGTTTTAATGGCATTTTGATTGCGGCGGTAATATTGTAATAACAGTTTTAAAAAGCTTTTAATCAGTATTTAATTTGTGATTTTACCCACTGTGATATTAGCGATGTTAGCTGTTAGGTTAGCTGTTAGGTTTTCATTAGGTATTAGGTGGAATACCTGTAAACTAGCTCTTAAGCTAAGCGTATTTCCACGTTAAATAAAGTATTAGTATTAGTATTAGTTGTCATATTCTGACTCGTTACCACTCTCTAAATGACATGATTTCTTAGCCAGGTTCCTTTGGATTAGATGGCGCATCACCTCTCGTCTCTAAAAAGTTAAGATATCGTTTTACCTTTTTAATACATTCTCACTCGATTTTAATAAGAGGATTCATAAAATAGATAAATAAATAAAGTCATCGATAAAATAAATCTTTGCCTTCAAGTTAAATACAATGCGTTATTTTCCTACCTCTTTTTCATTAGTTCTTCTTATTTTCCAAGAGGGCTTTGGCTTTCCCGGAACGAACTTTCCCGTAAATAACTATGTTGAGAGAAAATATATTACTGAGCACGAGTGGTTTTAGTCGCGCAGTTATGGGAACGAAAACTGTAATTTTGCCAACTTTCAAGGCTTGACCAATAATTATAGGGCAATTCAATGAAAGAAACCTCAGACATCTTGTCCTCTTTTGATGTTCGAATTCTCCATTTTGGTAGAAGCATTCGCTGTCAACATTGCTTAAAAAAAAAACCAACACCAAGGTTTCTTTGTAACACACATCTGAAAAGGTATTTCAGAATTATCTGTCCTGTGTGTGTGTGTATTTCCAAGGAGACCTAATAACGACATCGCTTTAAAAAATCTTCTCCTGTCATCGTTCTTCCGGTACTAGGTACTGGGTACTGGGTACTAGGTACTGGGTACTAGGTACTGGGTACTAGGTACTAGGTACTAGGTACTAGGTACTAGGTACTAGGTACTAGGTACTAGGTACTAGGTACTAGGTACTAGGTACTGGGCACTAGGTACTAGGTACTAGGTACTGGGTACTAGGTACAGGGTACTGGGTATTGGGTACTGGGTACTGGGTACTGGGTACTGGGTACTGGGTACTGGGTACTAGGTGCTGGGTACTGGGTGCTAGGTGCTAGGTGCTAGGTGCTAGGTGCTAGGTACTAAGTACTAGGTACTAGGTATCGCTGATTACTGACTGAAAGCTTGTGACAGGTTAAGTAATCAGAGTTAGTCACTCCTGCTTCTTTTTCTTTCTTATTAGCTGGATTCGTACTCACAATCCCGACCCCCCCCCCAACCCCCTTCTCGCCTTCCTTCTTTTCTCATTACCTGACAGAAATCATGAAATTATCCTCGCTACAGTGTACTCACCAGTATTTTCCTGGGAGCAAACTCTCAAAAGATTCTTTAAAACCCAGAGGAGTGGAAGAACCATATAGAGAAGATTACATTGAGGTGTGAGAACGCTTTTTTTGTTCTGGTAAAATTCCACTAAGTATCCAAGTTGGTCTGTTAAAAAAATTAAATGAAAGTCATTAAAAAAATACTCGATATGTATGCCATACCGCGCTAACAGCAATGATATTTCAACATAAAGTACATATATACCATAGATGAGGGTTTTCATCGCTAGTCAGAAATCCTTGTTGACAGAAAATTCCGTATCAAACTTTGTCTACTGTTCGGGTTAGGATTTTTTAAGACAATGAAGCTTTTGATATCTGTTTTTTGGGATTTTTCTGTTCGGTGACGCGAACTTAGACTCGGGTTAACTTCGCTCTAGTTCGCAAATTTTTAACGATGACATTTTGGTTCCCCACGGGAGCCTACTGTGGAAAACACAGACAGATCAGCAGGGGGTGAGTTAGTAAATTTCAGTACCTCGACATGACGCGTCTGTCGGAAGGAAATTGATTTTACACATTGATTCACGTAGGTTGATTCACACTGCGCGATTCGATTTGTAATCATGGCGTAAGATTGTCGCATGCGATAGAGTCCTAACGTGTGATGCTCCATTGCAGTACACAGTAAATAAATAGATATAAAAGTTTACGACGTATTTTATCAGGGAAAGTGATTTATTCCAGTCATGTTATTGAGAGCAAGCGTTCTCGGAAAGCTGAGAGCGATCATTTTTTTCCATTCGCGTTAAACATGTTTTGTTTTAAAGTTGTCTTTGTTTTGCCCACCCGACGCCGTTTTAGAATAAACAGAGGGCAGGCGAAAAAACCTGGTCCTGAAAATTACCTCTTTAAGAAAAGAAAGGAAAGAAAACTGCGTGCGTTCTTTTTTCAACCACTGACGCAAGGAATTTAAAATAAACGCGCGCAAAGCGACAGACGACAACGTGAAAAAACAATGTGCTCATCAAGTTCCAAAAAAATACTTCTACCCACAAATTAGGAAAACCACTAAATCAGAAAGAATTAGCTTTTAGCCTTACACTTTGCAATGCTAAAGGCGTCTTTAAAATGAGTGTTATTAACTATTGCATCTTAGGCTTTGACAGAGGGCAGGCAAAAAAAAAACTGATCCGGGAAATTACCTCTTCATTCCTCACCTACGAAACGAAACAAACACAATTTAAGTACTATTATCAATTACTAAATGTAAGTATTCTGGAATCGTTACTACAAGCCGAAAACCGGGAGAAAGATGAAGATTAGGAGCAAGAACAGGAGGACAACGAAGAAAAAGAAGAACAATGAAAAGAAGGGGAGGAAAGAAAAATAATTTCGTTGAATACGTAACGGTGACTTTTTTTATCATCATGAATATATCAACTCGTCAAAAGAGTTGATATATTCATTATTACTTCTCCAACTCACCTCTCTAAGTGCAGAGGATCTGTTTGGTATGTGGCCATTTCAGTTGAGAGGTAATGAGGCTTTGCTTTCTCATACTACAAGTATAACTTCGCGAAACTCATAACAAATGCCAGAAAAACGAAAACGAAAAAAGCGAAAAACTTTTACATCAAACAACATAAGTAGGAATACTTGTAACAAAGGGCCATGACGACATTTTCTTCGATAAAAGAGAAGTTGTGTGCACATGCGCGAGGTATCGCCATAGCAGAAAGACACTCGGAAAGCAGCACAAACCTGTAGGAGTGATCCTCACGATGGTTCTCCTATTGTAAAGAATCCTCTTCGTGTTGGAGACTTGTACGGGCAAACCAACCCATGATAGAACAAAGAACAAACAAGGTCACTCTGGCCAAAGCCAAATAGTTCCATTTGTTTGCAAAG